AATAGGCCTCTGAAGATGCGTTTTGCTACCTTGCTCTCTCTGTCTCTCTGTCTCTCTCTATCTGTCTCTCTGTCTCTCTCTATCTATCTATCTATCTATCTATCTATCCCTATCTATCTAACTATTTTTCTTACAACAATATATTATAAGGAATATTTCTCAAACATATCTTTCTTGCAACTATATATACGGATATTGAATAAATGGAAATACATAGCTCCTAAGGATTATTCTTTCCTCAAAATATTGTGGTTTTGATTAATTTCGTCGTGTTTACTATACGAATAACAAAAAGAAGACACTAAGGATATTCCAAGCATGAGGGAGGGAGATCAGAGAAGAAACACCGGTAGAAATAAAGTGAGGTGGCCATACAATTACAGAGGAGAGGGTATTGGACGAGGCACAGAGGGGCAGAAATAAAGGAAGCGAGATAATAGATTGAGGTATATATATATATATATATATATATATATATATATATATATATATTTATATATATATATAGGGAGAGAGATAGAGATAGAGAGAGAGAGAGAGAGAGAGAGAGAGAGAGAGGAGGGGGTAGAAGAAGAAAAAGAAGGGGGACAGAAAGGTTCATGTGGAGGAAGATAAAGAGCGCTACAAGGCAGAGACTGTGAAAAGAAAAAGGGAGAAAGATATTAAAATAGGAAAACAAAAATCAGCTATTATAGCGAATTGTGCAGGCAAATACAATAAGAAGGGACAAAAAGTTCCCTGAGATATAAGGCGGATTCACGAAAATATCTCCGAAATATTCGTACATGTACATGGATAGAAAATGTATATGATTATGGTTATAGCAGTGGGTTATGATTATTGATATGATTATTGAGTATGGTATTGCCTTTGGTTATGGGGTTATAATCAGCCAGCACATCTTCCATACATCTTTACCCCAGAGACAAATGTTTGACTTAGAGGATCATCCAAGGGAGTCCATGTTTGATGGGAATGATGCAGATGTTATTCTATCCAGGTAAGCTTTTAAATGAGGATCGTGCACATCGCATAATCTTAATCTCACTAAATCAATACAAAATAGACTATGATTAGGGGATGTTGATAGTCATTTACTAACATATGCTCTAAATCGCAGAAGATATTGACCTGGCCACACGTATTGAATTGAGGGCCGTGTGCAACTCTGAACACTTTACGTCAAAGGACAACAAATAGAAAGGAGGGGTTTAGCTGCCACTGATCTACAAAACCAAGATATAACATCTCGAAAGCAATTCAACACAATTAGTATGTGGTCTTTTTTGTATTTCTCCTACATTACTTTTCTTAATTTCATAATTAGCCTCTGAATAGTTTCACTAGTCTTAGTGGTTGTATGATTATGATTATGATTTATTATCTTCAATATTATGATTATTACGATCATTAAAATTATTCTCATTATTATTATTATCGTCATAATTGTTATCATTATTATTATTATTTCGGAACATACAATTTCGGAGATGTACTCTCAAAACTTTGTTGTGATCACCTCTTGATGTAGAAACTGGCTGCACTTTTAAAGAAGAATAAAAATGTACATATTATGTTCTAATGAAGCCTTCTCTAACCGTCCGATCAATCCAACCCACCGAGTATTCACTATAGCGTACGTTCATTGTAGGTTTTGTATTGGTTTGTATCACATTCCATATAGCAAGATTGCCTCATACATAAGATTTACCAAGGGAATGCATAATAAAACAAAGATAGAGACGAAACATGCTTTTCCGCCATAGAAATAATTGTTCATGAATCAAAATCTGTGTGATCACTTCTAAAAAATGGTTTATTGTAGTAAATGGGAACTGTTAATTATCATGAACTATGTCTCTCAAAGCAGTCATTATTACTATACTATCCTGTCAACTAATGAAATCAATTAGTCAATCAATCAATCAATATAACATTGTCATGAGGTTATGTGAGCGCCAAATTATGATTGATTCTATATTTACCAAACGCTTCAACTCGTTCAAAATACGACATTTAAAAGCTTTGTTTGTTTGTTAATTCTGCTTTGATATGTAATACAAATTGTTAATCGTTCTATAAAGATCAATTTGCAAAAAGGTTCATGAAACCATCGTGCAATGATTATGTGAAAACAATTATTTTCTATCTTACAAGGGTCCCGGACAAGGGTCCATGTATGAGAATATCAATCGACGTTGAGCGAGGGTACCCGGGGAGGGTACGATGTAAGAATTGAATGTATCTAGGATCTCAGTCACATGATCACTATCAACACCGTAGTTCCCCAGTAGCTGTCAGTGAACACAATGTTCCATCACAAAATTAAAATTGCCTTGTAACTTTTTTCCTCAGACTTTTATTCATATCTTTCCTCATCTTTTGGTCAACAACTCACACTATCTTGACTATATTAGCAGGGTGTATTTTCCCTCTTAATCCTCTATTCAGTTTTCATATCAGAATAAGATATAGGACCTATACAATCATTTTGAAAGTAATGTCTCAGAAAAAGTATGGGCAGATACAAACAACAAAATAGTGCATTAGAGTAAAGTGAATGAAGGACCATACATGTACCATGATGTTATGTTAAACCAGTTTTTCTCATGATGATTTGTTTTTAATTGAATAAAGAACTCTCATAATTGAGTTTAATTGAAATAAGGAACAGTTTTTACAGACTTGGTGATGAACATTACAGTAGCTGATGAGATCCATTCAATAACATAGCATCTGAACGTTTTTTTAATAATTAATTGAAATATTATTCAATCTATACATATTCTTTACCCCTCCATGTTTTCAAAAACAAAAGTTTGACTTGGAGGTTGATCGAAATCCACCACGATTGGTGGTAATGACGCAGATGTTATTTCATCAAGCTCAGCTTACATTGGAGAATAGTGCATGACCCATAATCTTTATCTCACCAAATCAATACAAAATAGATTGTCAAAAAGGTATTGAAATACGTCATGTAGTATCACAAAATATGTTTACGTCTGCCAATGACTTGAGGGCCGCGTGCAACACTTAACTTAGCCAATTAGGCCTATATGTAAAAAAAATAAAAAATACCATTACACGAGGCCTAATAAAAATGAATAACCAACTGTAATGTCTCAGTGTGAGAATGATATTAGTCTTAGAATAACAAAAAATATACTGTTTGTTATGAGGTATTTGGGTACTTTAATTTTAATATGATATAACATAAAGTGTTCAGCTCAGAAGGGTTTATGGGGCCGTGTGCAATGTAGGTGCTGAATGCAAAACTCTGTGACCTTTGTTCATCATTATATACACTGAATTGAAGACGCCACGTCATATTTTTGGACAAAAAGATAAAATTCTGTTTTTAGCGTAAACGTTGACAGTGTTTGTATTGCGGTTGGTATAAATGATAAATGGAAAAACGTAACGATACAAAATTAATTTACATGTAGAACTACAAGTTAATATATCACCTTCTTAAGTAATCGAAACGGAATTCCCATTTAAGATATACAGTGGGAGACAGGACAGGGAGAGACAGACAGGGGCACAGCCCCCCACCCCCCCCCCCCCCCCAAGATTGAAGTGATATTTCATTGTTTGTTGGTTTGATTTTTGTGTCCTCATTTGTTTTAATTTTCACATTATGTTTGGTTAATTTTTGTTTTGGTTTGTTCTGTTTTTGCTTGATCGACCTGGAATTTTCGGACGTCAGTTGTGCTCCTCAAGCTGAAGAAAAGTCGAATTTTCAAACTCAATTCGTGCGATTTGGTGTAAATTTTTTGCCAGGAATTGATTTTTTGGGGTCATGTTATTCGAAAGAATAGTTTGGAAAATCTTGCACTGACTGGAAGAATCGAGGGGGAGGAGGAGTTGGGGTAGAAGGAGGACTCTGTGGATGAGTAGCTCAAGGAGTGGGATTTCTGAAAATGGAATTGATCTTGGGGAGAATGAATTACTTCATAGAATATGGGACAGAGAGTTGTGGCACTCCATGGTCGCCAACGTCTCAGCACATCCCCTCTCAGACACTCTTACACATATGAACACACGCACACACACACACACACACACATCTCTAACCCCACACAAATCAGCCCAAGTCAATCAAAAACGACATGAACATCATTCTTTTCAAATATGATCATAAGCAAATGCTAAATAGAGCTTTTTATTGCAACTTTTGAGTAATAACAGAAAAACTTTTATCATAAACCTAACTCTAAAATATATAAGCACAAATAAAAATTGCATATAATCTGCTGTAGTTAATAATTCATGCCATACGCTATCTAATGAAGCATATTATTCATGATAAATTAGTACTGTCAAAATTGACATATGGTGGAGGCCAAAGTTCTTTGAAATTTGTAGTATAATTTTAAAAAAAATTGTACAAACACTAATTAGGCAATTTATACGTATATAATTTTTTGCTTTACTAATTCTAGATATTATAAATGATTATAATACAAATAACGCAAAAATCAAAAACTTTACATCAAATTTGATAGAAATGCTCAAAGGTTGATATATATACACATAATTAAATAATGCACCAATGATCCAGTAGTAGCATAAATAGACAGTAATTGAAAACCACTTGTATTGTGACTCAATGAATGTCATGAATACAAAATACATCATAATTGTACATCCACAGGTTATATCAGCTACAAATTCAATTGAGCCACCATACCACTACTTCCTGTAAAAATGAAGTCATCATTGAATGAATGTGATAGATTGAAGTTAAAGAATCTACAATCCCAGCGCAAGATATTTTCTAGTATTTAACTACTAAAACTCTTAGTCTTTTGTGATCTTCTTTAATGAGCGAAAATTCTAATCTTAACAAAACATTTAAAACTTAACTGACAAACCTGCAGTTCAACCAACAACATTTAATACATTGTATCGTACGTGTGTGTATATCTAACTTGAATGGAAGACAGGTTTTTTAATCTCAAGCATATGTACTGAAATAAAAATAGGCCAAACTCTGAAAGACTTTATTTATACACAAGAAGCACATCGAGAAGCTAGTACATATCATGTGCTTCATGAATTTAGTAGTACATGTTTTTTACTGTTATTATTAATATGTATTGTAACACTTTACCTTGAAGTCACTACATTAGCCATGCTCTTTTACTTTCAAACAAATTTGGCATCAGTGCCCTGCATGGCCAAAGGGCTTGCCTCTGAAACTTACAACATATGAATCAGATGCAAGGATGTATTAATATACATTACATCTGCTCGCTAATACGTTATCAAACTTGCTGAAAAAGAAAACACATCCATAAATGCATTCAATATAAATACAATCTTATCCTCCGCTCATCGAATATAATGTCTCTGTCAAAAAAAGTTTATACTATGTGAATTCTTGCCTGTCATAGTAAAATACATAAATGAATTCCATGTAGTTAAAATGTATCCTCTACTCACAAGAAATTTGTAAGATTCCTGGAAAAAACAGGAAATTCCTGGAGCCAAATACTCCACCTACATTAAAAGGCAAAGTGAATAACTCTTTATCAAGTATAGCTTGATAAAGTGATCATCCATGAACCCACTTTCACTATCCATGACTCAATCACTATAAGCATAATACATGTAGCAAGATATTACCCCAAAAATAAACATATCTATGAGTTTTCATGAGTAAATTGACATACTATGTTTGAAAATAAAATATTTACATGACCATCCAAAATACATCAGCAATAGAAAAGAGGAAAAAAGCAATGTAAAAAATCTTCAATAGAAATATGGAATATCAAAAATATAATTGGAACAATGCAACTGTATGTCCAATATAACTTAGCCTATAATCACTAAATACCAATGACCATTTGCAAATGTTTGTGTACATGCATTTAAAAAATATACAGCAATCGATAATACAAGATTTACATGTACATGTATGTGTCATTACAGCGCAAAGTGAACTAAAACACTATCTGGCGCCATGTTGAATTAACATGAGAAAACTGACGGTTCACTGACTAAATGCACTTATAGTACAGGCATATGTTGTTTGATGACAACTCAACCTTGTATAGATATTAGAATAAGAGACTACGATTAACATTTGATTTGACCTTTGACCTTTGAACTTGTCATATACTATAATTAAGTCATGAGTCCACCTGTATTGGTTTGTGTGATGAATTAATACAAATAAAGCAGGATCAAATGATTTTACACACAGGCTGACACTAAGACAACTTGTCAACATAAAGCCTCTTCATAACAAAATTATTTGGCAATTTATCCCTATCATTCATTTGAACATTTAGTAAAGGAGTCGTATGATTCTAGAAGAATTTATCTTTATTTTCCCTCAGTACCATAACTCAAGATTACCTTAAAGTGTATGATTCATCAAAACATCTTTCTCTCTTGATGTATGGCTTTCTTTGGCACATTAATGTATTCAAAATATAAGCTTCATGTATTACTTCTACAAAGAGATATTGCAGTTTAAATACATTCTAAGTGAACAGTAAAACATCTTGTTGAGTAAAGGCCAATGTCTTTTGACAATGCTCCCTCAGACAGAGGTCTGAAGAAGCTTGCAGCACAGCGAGTGAAAGTTTACCAAAGCAGGACAATTTCTACTGATTATGAAGAAAAAATTAATTAAGTTAAATTACCAATCAGATGAACCTCTTCAGTGATCACCATCACCATCACAATCATAACTGTCATTATCATTACCATCATCAATAACATCATCATCGTCATCGCCATCACCATCAAAACTATCATTACTGTCATTATCATCACCATCATCAACAACATCAACATCAGCATCATCATCGTCATCATCACTATCACCATCATCATCATCATCATCACTATCACTATCACCTTTATAAATCTTAGTACTGTCATTATCATCACCCACATCCTAATCAACATCATCACCATCACTATAATTCATCAGTGCCAGCTATGACAGAGGTCAGAAGAATCCTGCAGCACAGCGAGTGAAAGCTTACCAAAACAGGACATTTTCCACTGACTGTGAAGAATTTTTTTCTTCAAATACCCAAATCTCCCTTGGGTTATTTGATGTCTCCTTATTCATTTTTGCTATGAACTCAGCATGTAGAAACAAGCTCAATAGTCACATGAGAAATATTTGGTTGTGTAGAGTTGTAAAGTGTTCTCTTCTGAATGGTGGATGGGTGACCTTTGACCTCAGATTCTAAACCCCGGTGGCGTGGCAGGTGATGTATCGCTACTACAAGGTGATCGATGAGGAGTTGTCACACTCTACAATAAAACAAAAACAAAATTCAATTGAAATAGAAAGACGAAAATCATGAAGTTCAGGACTGCAATAGAACAACTCAATTATTAATATTCAAAAGGCTTTACAATTCTTACAAGTTACTTACATAGATTGAATTTTACAGGCACCTCAATCTGGAGAAATATATGTTATATGCAGGGATCATAAGAACCTCAGCGTGGGTAGCATATATTTGGAAGTTGGGAAATACAAAAAAGAAAATACTTCTTTTTGACGCAGTGCAAATGTTATTCGGGGGGGGGGGGGGGAGGGGCCGCATGTAGCTTTCCTGAATGCTTCATGAAACAGTTCAGGATAAATAAGTACCTCAGATAATATGATCTACATTAAAGTTGTCTTCATCACAAGGAAGAGCATATTAATTTACTCACCCTAAATTTCCTCTTGAGGGCCCTAGTCATGATAGGAGTAAGACCCACTCCACTTTCAGCAGGCTTGGTGCGTAACGGGGTACCTCCTGGACTCCTGGGAAAGCCAACCCTCTTCAGAGAGGTCCTAAACTCTATTGCCTCTAATGATAGCCTGTCAAAATACAAGGTACATTTATATAACAGCCTGAAAATTTATGCCATTAAAATGTCATTAATATGTGCTCAATATTTATTGATACTATACTGAAATAACAAAGAGAAAAGGTTTTATTTAATAACATCAAAATTATCATGATATGGGTTGAAAAAATCTATTCGATAACTAATTACATTCATCTATGCATCAGATCTTTTGAGACAGCAAAAAATAGTTCAAATTATGAAGTGTAAATTACACATTTTGCATAGATTGGTTTAGGAAAATTGATTCAACTTAAAAGGGAAAATTAGATTTGTGCGACTTGGAGTAATGCAGAGTTAACTGTATATCATTGTTCACTGTTTTTATTTCATGTGATCCAAAGGTAGACACAGTTGCCTTTATATATTTCATATGTGTCGACTATAAGGCAGCATGGAAGTCAATTTGTAGCTAACTTCTGCTTACTCCATATTTCATGCGAGTGTGAGTCCAAATAAGGGTGTCAACTGTTGCAATCATAGTTGTCTATTCAATCATTTCTTTGCAGAAGTATTAAGGTGATTGGAAAGCATCATGGATTCCCTAACATGCATCGCAGAGCAACATATTATGTGGAGATTGGTTTCCTTGATAAACACTCACCTTGTCCTAAGATTCATGGGAGATGTGATTTGAGTGGATTGAGTTGGATACTTGAAGGATTTCTTGAGTTGTACAGCTTGAAGATCTAACAATGTTACAAGAGGACCACCACCACCTGCTGTAGAGGAGCCAGACTTCTGTCAAAGGAAATGGCAGTAGCAAAACAATGTTAAGAAAGTCTCTTGCTTTTAATTTGGATGTAGCTGGAATGCTGAACAAAGGGGACTATTTCACATAGCTCCACTTCACCCCATCAAATGTATGTATCATAGAAAACTAAATTGGTTCAACACATGTATTTCGTGGAAGTGTCTATGAATTTAGGGTACGATGCTTTTTTCAAAGGGCCCAAGGCACGCGATTGTGCTGAGAGATCATTAGTCATCATGAAACAGAGTGCACCACCAGCACAACATTAGGTCAAAGGCTATGGAATGGAAATAACCACATACAAATATATTCGTTTACAGCTAGTATACATGTATATAATCAACAATAACATGTTATTCCGGCATTCTGTCGGTAGACTGTTAAGGAATGAAATACAGGGATAACATTAAAAACAAAGAAAAAAATAATAATAAGAAAAAAGAAATGCACATCCGACTAGGGTTCCCTGCACATGCATGTGTGTAGTTTCTTCAACCAGTCAAATCATTGGTAACTTTTCCCGTCATTGAGATATTATTTTGAATTCTTATTACAGAAGGAATATTTAGTTAATAGAAGCCAATTATATGAATATATACTGTAGTATACCTGCATGTAACAAAAAGATTCAGAGAAAAAATTAAAAAATCCTTTTTACACTTTGGTGACTACCAAACAGCATAATATGGCCCTGTTTCATAAAACTAATAAGTTACAATAACTGTTAAAAGCTACCGAAATCAAGGCATTTGATTGGATGAGAACATACTACCATCATCAAATCTTGTTTATATTCAACAATATCTCATAAATCTCAAAGATTGAGTTCTACAGTTTAACTTCTACCAGTTTATCATCGTCCATTTCAAGGATTGATTCCTGCCACATGCCTTCTTATCACATCATGACATGGATTAGGAGGAGACTGACCGGTGATGAATTGTATTGAATAGAATATGCACCAGGCACAGATTTCAACCTTAACCACTTATCTGAGATTAACAGTGAAGTCATTTTAAATTGCTTTACTAAGGTGCTCCAAAGACTATTAAAGCCCCACTGTCCTACTTGTAGCTACTTGCTCCCTCTGCATAGAAAACTATCTCTAATCGGTAACCATTGGTCCCCCATGATCCTCTTTTTCTTATGTTAATTTCTCAGGAGTCCAAAGAATTGAGAGAAAAAAAGAAAAACACCCCCTTTTTAAAGAAATCTCTGGGTGAAAAGTCAAATACACCCTTTTTTTACAATTCTCGGGCCGGATTTTTTCGCATGAAAAGTACCCTTTACCGTACATTTTGGTAACACGCATGCGGTCATTCTGACCCCGGAGTGGGGGGGGGGGGCGCTGGGCAATACACGAGCAATCAGTTTCTGTAGGCAATGGGATAATATGATCTCACCTTATTTGTCCTGTCCACTTTCTTTAGTTTCACTCCTTTGATGTCAGCCAAAGAAATCCCAGGATTCGTATTGGATTCCTAGGGTCGGAAAAGATATGAACGGAAACAGCGTAAAGGCATTATCAACTGTTTTGGTGAAAAGACAAAATAATAAGGTATTCACAAACACACATAAGTGATGTGTACTGTTTGCGGATCTAATAACACATGCACACAAAGCTGCTTAGATATGTACCTTCTCTAAAAACTCTAATAGATTGCTAGGATCACTGCTAGAAAGAGACCATCATAATGATTTGCTGGCTACATGTACATGTATGCTCTGCAACGATAGGCTTCAATGTAATAAAAATTGTACAGTACTATACCCGGAGGGGGTACTCATATATTAGGACATACAGGGTTGTGCCGCTCTAATGGGTCACTTTTTCACAAAAAATCTCTAAACATGAGTCCCACTTATAACAAAAATATCATTAAAAATGGTTTTGTTTTTTCAAATTTCCAAAATTTCCAAAATTTGGCAAACACCCGAAGAATGACCCCTAATAATAGAAAGGGGCTTCGAGGCTTGAGCGGCACACCCCCGTCCAAACTAAATCTGAGTATCCCCCCCCCCCCCAGGGACACTATACAAAAACAGCAGGAATTCAAGCTTATATTCATGTTTGGGTGTGAGGCTAATCCAATCCCTATTCCATAATGATGTTCAAATTTCTGGCAAAAGTATTATAGAACTTTCAGAGGAGATACTAGTACATACTGAAAGGAATTTTGATCCATGTATGAAATGAACCATTAGTAAATACCTGGATTATAATTTGAATCTCAGTTAGGAATAGTAACACCTAAAATAGGATATTGATATTGATTATTATTGAGTGGAAAAGTAGATAGCATAGCAACAAATCCTCCGTTCATTCACAGATCTACATACCCACATGGTACAAGAGATCCATGACTCACATAATTGTACACTGTAATCAAATTATAGAATTACCTTTTTGCCACTGGTGGAGCCTTTTTTCCTCTTTGGTAGATTTAGTCTCCAGTCTTTGGGTGGTGCAACTGCTGGAGGAGGAGGGGGCGGCGGGGGAGGAGGAGGGGGAGGCATAAGAGCTGGTGGTGGTGGTGGTGGTGGTGCTGCTGCTGCTGCTGCTGGTGGTGGTAGAGTAGGTGGAGCTGAGGATCCTGGTGATAATGATAAAAGTTGATGTACTGTACCCAGTGCAGTATGTGTGGTGGTGGTAGAGCTGTGTAGTGGACAGCAACAATGGGAGCAACTTGTGACTGCAGGAATGTTTGTAGTAGAGTTCTGAAATATGTGACACAAAATAATCACAAAAACATTGGAAGTAATTGGGGAAAACCAGAGTTTTTTTTCCATAATAAATAAACAATATCACATCACATTTCTTGTTTACCATGCCTAACAATTATTCTCTTGACATGAGTATGTACATGTAAATACAGTTGAATATTATTTAGCACTCTTACAAACTTAATAAGGTTTTCACATTTCTTTACAGCAGCGAAAGTTGTCAAAACATATACATATAATTTATTTTATTCAATGATCTAAAAGGAGAATTTTGACAGACGTCTTAAAAACATTTTTTGTTTAAAGGATAGGCCTATAACATACATGTACACTGTATGTGTATACATAAATAAATCATAGAATGAAAAGAAGAAAAAAATGAATGAAATCTTCATACTGGCTTCCATATAAGAACCCCTTACCTTAGATTCCATCTCTTGCTTGACTCTCTGAAGCTGTTCTTGTAGGAGATTAATCTGCTCCTGAGTGGCATAAAGCTCTCTCCGGTAAACACGAGATGGAAACACTACATCCTTCGCCAGCTCAAAGCTCTGTAGTAGTATTCAAGCAAATAATTTGTTCTATCTTATCCTATATTCATTACTCTGTCATTATAAATTACAATTAGCATAGTAACACTTAATTTCAAGTCAGTTATTTCAAGATAAGTATATTAGTGAAATAAAGAGGATATAAGAATAAAGAAGACAACAATCATGCTTCTATATTTCTTAACCTTTTTTTATCAAATTACTAAACACTCAAATTTCATAGCTTTCACCATCTTAGAATTTAAAAAAATAATGAAATGACCACAAGTTTACACTTTGTGAAGAAAATAATACACCTTTTTGATTAATTACTGAGGGAGGCTTGCCTGGGAAAAAAAGAATATTATTATTTTTCATTATATTACGATCCACGTCCTGTGTGATTTCAGAAAGACCTACAAAGAAGCAAAACACCATGCTAAAGCCTTCCAAGCTTCAGAAACATCCAAAGGTACATGTATCTGCTAACTAATGCCTTCAGAGCAGTGTTCTACAAATTGTTAAAAAAGTTGTTGCATTACATTACCTCGTTCACTTTGGTTTTCCACCAATTACACACATGATACAGAGCAGATGGCAGCTTGGTTAGACTCAGTTCTCCAGCCGCTCCTAGCCAAGAGCTTGCATCTATGAATGGAATCATACTGCCAGCAGATGATGATGAATGATCTAACTCCTGGACATGATCCCCATCACCATCATCATCAAGTAACCTGTGCCATAGACATATAAAAAGGTTTCAGAATCAATTTTTCTTTTTTTCTCGTCACTGGTCGTGCTAAACGGGGACAAACTTATTACACAAGACTTTGTACAAAACTTGTATAACAATGCACTTTCCACAATGTACCAGTATTCGAAATGTGATAATTTGGCAGCCTATCAGCAATTACATGCATACAGAACTATATCTCCTTTTACACTTGGAGCTAAATTTATCGGCACCTGTTCTAGGTTTGAATGATTTACATGCAGTACTGTAGATCTGACTACAAATTGTCAAATTTGGATACCTTGCATTTAGATGCCAAAGAGTTTCAAATCAGCTATCATTCCTATCTTGTAAAAATACCAAAATGATCCGAACCAATAGAAATTGTTCCAGGAAACTGCAAGTCTACAAATTTGTGATAATCTTGACTAAATCAATTACAACTTTTAAAGATGTCTGGAATCATTACAATAACTGAAAGGCTTACATTTGAGAGACATCAATCTCCATAGTACATGAAGCACCACTCTCCTCAACGAGTCCTGAATTTGTTGAGTCTGACAGACTTTTGGACAGTTCCCTAACTTTCCTCCGATTGCCTCTTCTCTTACGCCGAGATGAAAATGACAAGAAGTTCACTTTATTGCTGCGGTGCTTCATCTGGTAGAAATAGAGAAATAGAGAGGGAGAGAGAAAGAGAGAGAAGGAGAGAGAAAGAGCAGGATTAAAGCCAAGAATGTGAAAACAGTAAGCATTGTAATTTGCTGGTGTATTTCTATCTCTAGGGGTATGGTATGCCATAAATCTTAATGCAACTCTCAACTCCTTACATCAAATGATATTCCTTGAACTGACCAAATCTGTGATTCTCATTGGATAAACAGATGAAGTTGCGTTTCATTTTTGAAAATGCATTACATGGAATACTTTTGTATACCCGGTATATTTGTTTTCCTGTTAATGTTGTTTTTGTTAATTTCTTGATATATGTGTCATGGTTGGTGCCCCAACCACAAGTTTATTTTCAAACTTCTTCAGGGGCTTCTAACCCCATGTTTTTATGTTTTCATGAATTATTGTATTCAGCTTGGCCTGAGGCGGTATTCTGAAACTTGTTTTATCTCTAATATTGTTGTATCTTTGCTGTTATTGTTGGTTTTATAGATCTAGACCAAGTTGGTTTTCTGAAAATTGTTGTAACTTTTGTCTTCTTTTCTGACATCTCTTTGAGCTTTGCCTGTGCTCAAACTTTTGACCTAGTACTAGCTAGTACTTATCATGCTTATATATAATAGATATCGATTGGTATTGATTGGTACTAATTTGGTAGGGTCCACAAAAATGGGCGTGTCAAACTCAAAGAAAAAGATAAGATAGAATTAGAGGCGCGGTTGTCCTTCAATTCAAGAGATTATAATTAATAATAAGGCCGGCTAAGATAATTTGCAGAATACCAACTTTTAACAATATTAGCACTCTATTATGTCTGGAAGATACAACAACAGATGAGACAAAACTTACAATCTAAAATACTGCCCCTGGCCTTTGCCTTTTTGAATGCTGCATGCAGCTGAGCTGCGGACGTACGCATTGACAATGAATGTAAACACACACACAGATCATCACATGCACGATCACTAACACTGTACACAACTCCACATTCAGAAGTGGCACAACGCGAGGGCATGCAATTCAAGCTGTTATTCAGGGCCTTATTCAAATTAATATACATGTATATAAGACAAAAGAGCAAAGCATTTATGTCCCTGAAGTTAATTTAATCAATTCTTTCTTTTCTGTAATAAAATGTCATTTTAGAAGTTGCTTACCTTAAGGCTTAAAAGTTAGGAGGGCACATTCTGTTTCCGTATTTACCGCTGCCAGCTGATCAAACTGACGTTTACATTGAGGTCAACCAATCAGAATTCTTTATATTATGTTGAAACGGCGGGTTGATATTTCAGCGATGATTTTATGGTACCTTTCAGATGACGGTAAAGAAGCAATTTCAAGACAGTGAAAAATAAATAACGATGTATTGTGTTTAGGCCCACTTTTTGATGATAGTATAATACAGTATTTATCTTTATTGCAAAATCAAAGGCATCTGATTGTACTTGAAGACAATAAGATAATAATAGGTATTAAAAAGTAAAAATTGGGATTCTTGGTGTGACAAGAGTACAGTAGGCCTACATTGTATAAACATATGACACATGAAGAAAAAGTATTTAGGTATTATTGTTTATTGATCATAATAGCACTTTGTACTGAAAAATATCACCAAAAGAGAAAAAGATGGAGAGGGGGAGGAGGAGGAGGAGGAGGAGCCTGGGTCGGAGAGAGAGAGAGAGGGGGGGAGAGAGAGAGAGAGAGATATATATATATAGCTCGGAGACTAGGGAGTGGGAGGGAAATAGAGACTGAGAGACTATGGGATGTAGTTCGTTGAGATATAGCCCAGGTCGAAAATCCCATATAATAGAGACCATTAGAACAATTCTATTGGTCTCTGTTGGAGTCTATCAGTTTCTGTTGGACCCATAGAATTGAATCCAACTAATAGAAACCATTCAAACCATCAGAAACCAATAGAAACCAATCGCACCCATAGAAACCAATAGAAATAGAAACCAATAGGAATAGGACCAATAGAAAACCAATGAGACAATGTAGAACCCAATGGGACCAATAGAAACCAATATGACCAATAGAATTGAGAAACATAGAAACCAACAGCCTAATATATCTCATGCATATTCATGATTACTTTACATTTATCATAATTTGTTAAGTAACTTATGACCATGCATCAATTTTGTGATTTTTATTTTCTTTCGGCAACTAATGACCAATAGATTATTTGTCTGACCATGTTACAATTACATTCACGTTCTAGCAATAGATATATTGATTATAATGATTATACTAACCAAGATTACTATCTCGTACCCCGGGGCAACGTGTCTGACACGGCCGGTTGTAGCAAGTGAGATCAAGATTACATTGATCTTGATCTAAGGAGACACGAACGAACGAACTAACCAAGACACAACATGTATGTTTATTATCTAGAATCCCTTACAAAAAAGTTCTATAGAATTCTATAAAAAAAATTCTATAGAATTTCTATACGCAATTCTATAGAAATGTTTTATAGAGATTCTATAGAAAAGTGGGCCACTTTTCTATACGAATTCTATAGAAATCTATAACGGACCTCTATAGAATCTCTATAAAACATTCTATAGAATGGCCTATAGAAATTCTATAGAATTTGTTTTATAGAATTCTATAGAATTTGTTTTATAGAATTCTATAGATTTTTTTTGTGAAGAATCCTATAGAATTTTTTTGTAAAGAATTCTATAGAAATGTTTTATAGAGATTCTATAGAAAAGTGGGCCACTTTTCTATAAAAATTCTATAGAAATTTGTAACGGACCTCTATAGAATCTCTATAAAACATTCTATAGAATGGCCTATAGAAATTCTATAGATTTTTTTTATAGAATTCTATAGAACTTTTTTTGTAAATAATTCTATAGACCATTTTTTACCAGTTGAAAACCAGTTTACTATTCAGTAGCGACCAGCAATCAATTGATTATTAATAATCAATATTGCATGACATCTGGCCACCGACTACACCATAATTATGTATATAGACTCCTGCAATTGCTCCATCACAAAGATCATTTGAAGCAAAATGCAGTTGAGTATATTGTTAATTAAGTAGTGCGGAGATCTTATACAAAATTATACATGTTTTTACTGGTTAGTAAATTACATATATTAATATATCTATTTTACGTCTTAAGTTACATGTTTAAAAAATCGGACATAATATTATATTTGACAATAATTGACTAAGAAAATATAAATCACAAAATTGATGTTAATTGTCACATTTGCTTGACAGATCATGATAATTACATTTTCTGTGAAAACATGCAAATTATCATGAATATGCATGAGATACATATCTTCATATAGAAAAAAATTCTATAGAATTCTATAGAAATTTAGATCTATAGGAAACTTATTCTATAAAATTCTTTAGAGAAAAAAAGTTTCTATATATAGACATCCTTAAAAATTCTATAGAGAAGTGGGGACGCCATTTTTTATATTAAATTTTCTATAGAAATTTATATCTATAGAAAACTTATTCTAAAGAATTCTATAGAGGAAACTGATTTCTATAGACAACCTTAAAAATTCTATAGAGAATTAACTTTTCTATAGAAATTTCAATCTATAGAAAACTTATTCTATAGAATTGTATAGAGGAAACTGATTTCTATAGACAACCTTAAAAATTCTATAGAAAATTAACTTTTCTATAGAAATCTAAATCTATAGAAAACTTATTCTATAGAATTCTATAGAGGAAACCGCTTTCTATAGAGAATCCTTAAAAGTTCTATAGAGAATCTGGAATGTTATAGAGTTCAATACAGCGTTCTATAGAATTCTATACAACTTTTTTGTAAGGGATAGTACAAGCCTCCACTTAAAAAAGGGACATTCTTTTAATAAACTCACTTCAAGTGATCTCTGTGATGGAGTTAATGCAATTGAGTTTTTAATATACCTTTTTAGTGGACAGTTGCTAAAATCGATTTTTGATTTATCATTATTGATTTACCGATAGAAGCCAACAGAAACTATTGCACCTCTAACAAGTAACAACCAATAGGTCTATTGGTTTCAATAGGGAATTAAGAATATGGGACCATTAGAAACCCAAAGAAAGATCTCTAATGGACCAACAGGAACCCATATAGAAGAAACTATCTAATGGACCAACAGAAACCCACAGAAGACGTGGATGGATGTTGGTCCAATAGAAGCTTTCTGTTGGTCCATCAGCATATTTTTCTGTGCGTTGGTGTTGGTCCAATAGATATTTTTAATTGGTTTCTGTTGGTCCAATATTTCACTTTCCCTATTGAAACCAATAGGCTATCGGATCCTATTGGAATTTCGATCTGGGAGGCCCCGCAGCCTTGGGTATACAGGGCGTATCATAATAAAGGATATTGAAGTTTAATGACGATTTATATGAAAACTACTGATTTCATGATCAAGCATTTTATATCTGTTGTAAAGGACAGAATGTCTTCTTGTTAATGACACCCCGATCATACTACTACTGTCACAGTTGACTGAATAACAAAGCATTGCTGTCCACCATGTGAAAGGTGCACTGTGACAAGTTAGCATTCACATTATTCTAAAGATTAGTGCTTGTGTCAGCCCAGACATATTGAAATGCTGAACAATGAGTGGATTATGTGTCTAAGAAGGAAATGTTATCAAACTTGGCACAGTGCACCTTTCACATGGTGGACAGATTATTCAGTCAACTGTGACAGTAGTAGTATGATCGGGGTGTCATTAACAAGAGGACATTCTGTCCTTTACAACAGAATAAAATGCTTGATTATGAAATCAGTAGTTTTCATATAAATCGTCATTAAACTTCAATATCCTTTTTTATGATACGCCCTGTATTTGCCTGTGATGGCCTTAGTCTTTTCATTCAGATTGAGATCGAACAGGAAATTCTGATTCCAAAGCAAAATAAAGACAAGAAGTTTTCACAGTTAAAGATTGAATGTGAGAAAAATTCTTCTCACAGACAGAGTATGCCTATTTGTTTTCCTCTCACAGTAAAAGCGTGCATGTGTGGAAACCACTGATCTCTAAACAGATAAAGGTTCAATTATTGATTGTTTCAAAGATACCATAATGAATTCGAGGTAAACCACAGTTCACTATCTTCAGTTTTCAGACCCGGCGGACTGATTAAATTTGATTTTCTAGTTTCGGCGAGATTTTCGGTCTAATAAACTGAAGAAAAGTGGGAGAACATGGCAAATATGAGTGGAGACCAAGCACAAGAGATGGAGAGGATGGTGGACAAGCTTGAAGCAATGGTAGTTGCCCATTTAGAATTATGTAAATTGAACGGGATTGAAGTCGGGATAAAAAAATAGTGGAGCGGTCGCGAGCGCGAGAGTGCAATGCACTGCCACTAACTGTCCAGGGATCGGAGCTCCGACGCCGATGCCGAAGGCGTCGGAGCTCGTAGGCCTAGGCCTACAGGAAAACGATTCAAACACCGGGTTGGGTCACCTTTTTTTCGAAATGTCAAAAGATAGTAATTAAAATATTGATTTACAATGTTTTTCGGCTCCTCTAGATCTAGGCATCGTTCCAAGTTCCAACCACTTGATAATTTAAGAAGTCTAAAAATAAAGTCTTTGAAGTTTGATGGGAAAAAGGGTGATTCTTCGTCTGAACCCGACGATTGATCCATGGACGTGAATCATCGATTCAACTTCCGTTTTTCGCATCGTTATTTTTTAGGGCGCAATTTGTCCGCATATGTTCCTCGTCAACGCGTCCTAAAAATTTGGATTGTCCGCATTTTCGCGGAGGTTTTTTTCTTCGGCGCTCTGCAGGTTTCTTCAGGTTCCCGAACTGTGCGCTGGCGAGCCGATGTGAAAAACAGATACGGCGTATTAAAATACCCCCAATTCACCGTCTACTTTTATAGGGTGTCTGTCTTCCCGAGATTTATCACTCATAACGTGAAAGTCTCTGTATAAAGTCAATGTAAAATGCATCTAGAAAATCATTGCGAAATCCGTTTTTCGCATCGCCAACACGCGGATGGGAAATCATAATTGTCAGCGAAAATGTGGACGGTGCTTATTTTTGCGGACGATCCTTATTCTCCGACCAGCGCCCCTACAGATAAAGGTCAAAGCACTTTGATATCAATTAAGAATGTACCCAACTCGTGATTATTTGATTCTAGAATCCGGTCATCCAGTGTAATTACGATTTGCTTACCTTTCACATGTTCCTGATGATAATGAGTTAACATAGGATTTAAATTACAAAAACGCTGACTTCTCAGTCAAGCTTAAGTTCTCGTGAGATTTTTGAGAGTTTGTGATCGGTGCGATGTTTTTGTTCTGCCAGAAACGCAAATACATGCGGTGTACTCGAAAATAGTTGTTGTTTTTTCGCGTTGACAAATTGATAGATCAACCTACTTTACAATTATACTATTACTATAGCATAAAGTGTAAACAGTAGCGGGCAAAGGGAGGTCAGTAACTTGGCCCTAATTGATATCACCTATCCTTAGTAATAGTTGGCACTAATTTGCCTGCATGAAGCTTGAATGTGATGTAAACGAAACCTAAAATGGTCTTGTCAACAAGGATTTCTTTTAGACTGAATATTGTTATTCATTTGTTTAGTTTCAGAAGGCCGAGTCTGATGTAGAATACATGTCCAGGAAGGTTGAGAGTGAGTTTCAAGAAGGAGCCCAAGAAAAGGATCAGGTAAGAATCTTTTGTCCTTGTCCTTTCTTCCAAGATATGTGTACTAGGATCTGATCTTGGTTGTGAGATTTCTATCAGTCCTTTTCTTTGTAGTTAATACTTTTTGAACCTAAGATCACCCTGGATTGTTTATTGAACATAAATCAACTTGTTTCTAACTGGTCAAGATGACTAATAATAGACCTAATATGTTACTCTCTTTCAAATACTTTTCATAAGATTTAAAAAGTTTTGTATTAGAACTGTTGTAAGTATGGATGATTTACCAAGGCTATTAGGGAGTAATTTGTTACCCTTCTTCTAGAATAATGATTGTATTAGTGATTGGGATTGAATCCTTAACTGGAAATGAATTGTCTCTTCGGCCATCTACAGTGTATATGCCTTTTGTGAAAGAGAGTCATAGGAATGATGTTTTCATTTACAAAATTGCTTTTACAAAAGATTTTGTTAAAATATATAACAAAAAGAAGTACAATATGGTTGAAATGAAATCACATTAAACGCAAACAAACAATATCCCAGGAAGAAAATGTATGTTTTCAGACATTTGTTATAAAATGTTCAATATACACTGTACATAATTAAGACTAAGCCATGAATGTGTTTAGAATAGAACCCTAAGGCATGTATGATTAACTTGTTTTGCAGACCTCACCCCTTGAGCTTAGCCAGCGACTGCAGCAAGTCAAACATGATTATAAGAGCATCATGGAGGAAGCTCAAGGTATCAAGAAAGCACAGGAAGAGATGGTCTCTGGTATCAAACAACAGCTTATGTCAGCTTCACATGCATTACAGAGGCTTCATCAAACATCAGGCACAGAGGTTAGTCATGCCTTGAAAGCAGGAATTTACACTCATTTATTCATAATATTGTCAAAACAAAGGGATCCTGTCATTGTATGACACATGCTTGAACAATAAGTGCTCGCAGTCACTTTTCTTTCAACCCAATCCTCAACAATGTACATGTACCTAACCATAATCAAACCTCTGCTTAACCTAAAACCTTACCATAACTTAACTGTAACCCAAAAGCTTTGACTAAATAAAGTCCTGAACAATGTCATATAAGCAAATTTTGGCTCACCAATCCTGCTGTGTCTGTTAATGGATGGCTAAGATGTGAAGATTTTGGATTTAGAGGGTCATTTGTGCTTGGTACCTAGTTCATAAAGAGCTTGGCTACCTAAAGTAAAGCCCCATTATACAATCTATCTTGAGGTGTGGCTTGCATCAAGCTTTATCAGTTTATTCTGAAAAGACAAATTGTCATTGGGATTGTTCTTTGCAAACCACGCCTTCCATTGATACATGACATCTTCTCTACTTTAGCGTTATTCAGTGGTGATGTTACATTAAATATTGATTCATGCCACATATTTAAACGTTTCTCCCCCCTTCTCTCTCTCTCTCTCTCTCTTGCTTCACCACTCTCTGTCTGTCTCTCTGTCTGTACCTCTTCTCCCTCCTCCTCTTAGTCTCTCTATCTCTCTCAGTCTCTCTGTCTCTCTTTGTCAGTCTCCATTTCTTGCTTTCTTCTCTCTCCTTTGTCTCCTTTCATGTATACTCATTTGATTTGAATTCTTCATTATTGAAGACGTTTGTTTTGTTGTCAGCTCCCAGATATATCCGAGCAAGAAGCTCTTGTTCAGTCCATCCTTGGTATACCGGTATCATCCTCCGCACCTGCCCCTGTAGCTCATTGCTCAACCTCATCTCAACCAGGATCAGAACAGACTCGTGTACCAGTAAGTCAGGTTTCATTTCATTTGGTAAATACTTCAGTTTTGATGACTTTCTGTGAGGTCAATGTAATTTCAGTTAGAATGGTTATAACTAAAATTTGGAAGCATTTAACAGTCGTCTTTGAATGGGGGGGGGGGGGGGGAGGTGATGTAAAACTGATATTGAGTGTTTTGTACAGTAAATTTATATATAAACGTTCTATATATCAGAACCAATAAGAATAACAGTAATGGATTTTTTTTTTTTATGGTGTTAATGAAACATTTAAGCTGTGAGAGAGATTGGGGAAAGCAATGTAAAAAGAAGATGACGATTTGACCTCCTTCCCCACCCTCTCCCTATTTAGCCTTGTTTGCTTTCAAATTGAAATTGAAATTGAATTAATTTCACTCCTAGTAAACATGATGCCTGATGGGAAGTAAAAGTGTTTCAACATCTATGTCGTTTCTAGCTGCTGAAAATTGGCATATTTTATGACAAATACTTTGTGTTTCTACTGCAGCCTTTGCAGCTTGATGAGGAGTTACACACTGCGGAGGGAGAAGAAAATCTTTCACCCATTGATACAACATTTGACATCGGTAAGATACTATTTCATGAATCCTTTCACATATAGCTATAACATTTGATGTATAGAAGGATTGTATTTCGTGAATCTTTTCGTAAATTCTCCTAGGGTTATTGTCTGTTTGGAACCAGAAGGGCAATATCTCTATGTAGAATGATGAGTTACCACCCTTCTGGTTCCATGAAGATGATGTAGATAATAATAATAATAATAATAATAATGTCAATTTATAAAGCGCACATATCCATTCTAAAAGACTGCTCAAGGCGCTCTTGTACAACATCAAAATAATTATACAATATTAAAACTACGATGAATGACATCAATAAATAGGATAATGCTGCCTTTAGTAGGAACCGTTTCACCTGTAGATAAAAAGATGCAATACCAAATTGAATCCTCCTCATAGAGATACATCATTTGACATGACTAAAATACCTTTTTTTTAAAGGAATCCTTTAATTAACATATATAGTGTACATACTGTACATGTTGATATAATATGTTACATTAGTACCATGCTATTTTCAGAATCCTTTCACATCTCGATAAAACATTTGACATGAAGTTAATATTTCATGATATCTGCCATATAGATGCAACATGAGACACTTCTGTTTTTCTTGTAGTGTAATGAATTAAAGCTTTCGCTATTAAATACAACGTTTATTTTGTTGGGAAAAGAGTGCAGATGTGTTTCTGTGAAGTATATAAGATAACATTATTCTATACATCAGAGATAATAGCCCCTATAATTGAATGTATGCATGATAGAAATTGGCAATAGTTATTATGCTGGAATGCTGGACATGTATAGTAGAAACACTACCCAGGGAGTGGAGATGGTGCCCATGTATTTTGCATACATAAATATGATGACTAGGGTATTACTGTTTAAGCACTATGTTATAGTCTAGATCAGGCCTGGTCTAGATGATATAATGAATTAATAAGCTCACAAATTCTTTTCTGATTTTGTTGATTTGACAGGTCATTCACCAGCAGAGCTTCGAGCCCAGTCTAGTGACATGGTCCCTATCACCGAAGAGGAGTTCACATCAGTCTCAGATCTCGTTAGGGCAAGAGCAAAGCTTGAAGATGTGAACAGGGTGAGAAATGAATGCACCCATCTTTGTAATGGCTTTAACATGTTGTATAATTATTGTCAGTTTCAATTTCATTGCTATCAATGAAAGAATAAGGGAGTTAACAGATAGCACATGGTACAAATGACCCCAAATATCCACAGATCTTTTACACATGGAGAAGTTCCACTTTGAGCATCTTAGAATAATAACTGCCAAAGTCCTAGATGTGCTTCATGAATACCTTTTGTTTGACTTCTTGAAAAGAATACTTCCACCTGCGTATCATAGAATGTACCGTTGGTGCATAAATGAATAATGTTACATAACTTTCATGAGCGCGTATCCAGTATTCATCTCTGTGGGTTTTACCATTTTGGTACAAATGACCTTCATCTGCCCATGCGCAGATTGCATCTGTGAACTGGCTGATTGATTCAATCCACTCCATAGCCCCTCTAATACCTTTCTACCTCTCCATCATCAAGCATGGTACTGTGTGCAATACATTGTGAAGCTGTCTGACGTACAGGAGGTTCTATGACACCAACTGATTGTTCAATTGTTCAATTCAATAAAGTCAAGCTTAATTAAGCAATGAATGCCCTACAGATAGAGAAGGCAGTACCTGATGCTGTCTCACAGACGTCCAGTGTTCTCATATGCACTGATTTTCAAGAGATTATTCAATTCAATAAAATTCATGATTTCTGTGTGTATATTGTGTTGCTGATGTTCCACCAAGAGAAGAGTTTAGGATTTAATTTGATATTTGGTGGAACACTGGCGCGGCAATATACACAAACATGTGGACAGCGAACTTATTAGATAAAAATACATTTTGATTTTCTGATCAAAATGTACTTAGTTTTGATTGTATTATTTATGCAAATTAGATGACAGTTGTCAAAGTAAATTGAATCAATATTGAGTGAGCATATTTAAGAGAACGTGGTATTCATCTTGCTTCCCAACATTTTCTAGAATGCCATTGTTTTCAATTTTCAATTCTTTTGTAGACAGTTAATTCAATATTTGGTTCTCATTGTACATGTAGGTATACAGTAGACTCCATGATCACTTCAAGACAGAAGGGAACACTGCTGCATTGAGTGTACCTGACATGAGTAAGATGGGTATGAAGATAACAGGGGCTACAGGAGAAGCTAAACTCAAGGTAAGTGATTAAAGGCATTGTTTAACAATGTTAAATCTGAGATGCATGTTACCTGTAAATGATTGGAATGTGAGAGTGCTCAAACTGAGTGAAACACCAATGCATTATTTACTGAGGATGCTTGAGCTCAATGAGCCTGAATTCTATACTGAATAAGTCTGGTTTTAAATTTCTCATTTGCCAGGAATTTAACAGAGTGTAGTATATTATACATAGGTTCATAAAGAAGTGAGAAGACGTAATAAGAAAGTAATTGTATTGGGTAATACTTTATTTTCAATGTTTAAAGGGAGAAGTATGCTGTAATATGAATCTAAATAAAGTAATGTCATAGTATATATTTTGTATATGTATATCCTACTTCATAATGTAAGCTATTCAACATTTCAGTCTGCTGGTTGTGATGCAGTGACTTTCTCATAAGCCGTACCATCATTTGAATTGTAACTGGTTTAGGAGCTATGGAGATGCGTTCTTCATGAGCTTCAATAGCTGTTGTACTGATCACCTTTTAACATTATTCATTGAGAAGACCATTTATTTCAACAGATACTTTTTGACTTTTTTTGTAACAGATACAGATTGCTATACTGTACGCTCTTTTTCCTTTTCGTCCCCTTTCAGACTCTGCGATCACTGAAGATCATTAACATAACGAGGACAGGAGCAGTGAAGTTGTTATGATGTGTATGAATGTGGAAAGAGCACATGACGCTATCCAGGGTCTGGTGATTAGACTATGCTTGCCATGCCAGGTTACAGAAATAAGCCCAAGAACATTACAAATAGCAGACTCTCTAAAGCTATCTAGTCTTTAAAATGGCCTAGACCAGACATCAGTGGGTTTATTTTAAAAATCCTTTTGACCCCACGATCTTACCATTCCTCATCAGTGACTTGAAACCCTTCAGGCAATTCTTGTATTCCCAAAGGAAAATAATTTTCATTATTCTGTTGTTAACAGTTTACTCTCCATGTTTGCCCTGGAGAGGGTTGAGCAGGTTATCCTAGATCATGTTCCAGGCCCAGGAAAAATTGAATGTCAAGAAAATATTTAGGCCACACCTCCCCCCTCCCGTAGACTACTTTAAAGCCTGAAACTTTCACAAGTGGCTGCCATCAACAATTCAAAATAGTGTCAAGCCGCCAAAGTCTATGATGTTAATATATATATACGTCATTGTCCTCTCTCCTTATTTTCTCTCTTTCTCTATCTCTCTCTTTCTGTCTGTCTCTGTCTCTCTGTCTGTCTGTCTCTTTCTCTGTCTCTGTCTCTCTCTCTCTCTCTGCATCTGTCTCTTTATCTGTCTCTGTATGTCTGTCTGTCTCTGTATCTCTCTCTGTGTCTGTCTCTCATTGTGTCTGTCTCTCTCTCTCTCTCTCTCTGTCTCTGTCTCTGTCTCTCTGTCTCTGTCTCTGTCTCTGTCTCTGTCTCTCTCTCTCTCTGTTTCTGTCCTATCACCCCTCTCCATATCTCATTGTAAAGCAGGTTGAATCAATATGGAGAGGATAAAGGACCCCATTTAACCAAGAAAGCAGTTGTGTCATCCAATCCTTCCTTTCTCACCTGAGTTTCATAAAAAATTATAAAAGATTTCCGTTACATCTTAACCTTTACTTGAAAATACAATTTTTCTCTTTAATCAAAGAAATATCTTGCACTTTCACATCCCGTCTTAAGAACGATTCTAGTTGGTGACTCCAGTTTATGTAAAATAGTTCCATAGGAAAATAAAAAGAGATCAATTAAATATATAGCTTTATAAATTGTAATGCTTGTACATGTACTGGCCATGTTAGTATATCAACAACCATCAGCATGTATATATTTATAATCAGACATATGTCTATATATGTAAATATTTTACAAATAAACAAATAACCTATATTATATGATGCTTTCAATGCCTTTTCATGTTGTGTTGTATTGAAAGTAACTGTGTTTGAGAGTTGTATGAGAATGCATGCCAAAGCAAGTTGCAAGATTGGTCAGCTTTTCTTTATCAAATTGGCAACCCTGAATTTTTCTTTGATGCTACAGTTTTCTTATAGCATGTATCTTGCAGAATGCATAAAGTACTAGTATTTCTAAAAGTCAAGAAATGACGAATCGGTATTGAAAAACAGTTTATTGAACATTTTTGGTGTCGATGATGTTATCGGGCCTGATAATTACCCGCTTAAAAAAAAAAAATCCATTTTTTTTCCCCCCGATTTTACCCCTATTTTCCCTATTTTCTTACTCAAAGGGGGGGGGGGGAATGTTGTTAGATGCCTTTTTATTTTTTTTACTCAAGGGGGGGGGGGGGGTTGATTGGAATTGGAACGGGATGAGCAGACTTTTTTGGCTCTTTTTTGATAATGCATCCGGTAAATTTTGCAAGGATTTCATCAAAAGTTTGATTGAACCACTAATCATGGAGAGCTTTCCTGGATGGATTGAGATGGAAGGAATGAATTTAAAAAAATATTGACAGACAGTTTGAAAGGGAAGAAATGTGAGGTGGAGAGGCTCAGGCTAAAAGGAGAAAGTCCTTTAATCGCAACTAACAAGATAATTTTAGATGGCATTTGCAACTAAATAATATTGAGATACTTGTATTGAGAAGTGCTTTGTGACCGGAAGAAAGTGGGTTTGAAATTGATTGGATATGGTACAGGAGTATTGGGACGTTAGCTCATACTACATTTCAGAATTATGAAATTTTGGAAAAACGATGTGTAACCTTTAAACAAAAAGTTTGCTACAATAATACAACAAGCTAAAAAAACCTTTGTAGTTGGGGAATTTCACTCTCATTAACCATATTGTAAATTTGCCAGAAGAAAGAGAGAAGAAGAGAGAAAGAAAACAAATGGGAAACCAAAGGAGGTGGAGAAGAAAACCCAGTTGCATAGGTCTAATTCTAAGAATGTGCCCCTCTCCAGAAGACAATTGTTTTTTTTTTATTGCTTCCTTCTGTGTTTGTCAGAGAACTTCATAATGAGAAGTCACCACCCAAATCAGGAAGGTGTTATTCAATGTGCGTTTTTAGTGAAGATTTGAACGTTGCAGAAGGGTGCCTGTCGTAGGACTTTGGGAAGATTGTTCCAAAGGTTTGATCCAGCAACTGCAAAAGATCTGCCCCCATAGAATATAGTATTGGTTTTTGGTACATAAAGTAGTGCTTGATTGCTTGAACATAGGGTTCAGGGTTTGTGGTATTAAAAAAAAGATAATAGTAATACTAATAATGAAAAGAATTATTATGATAACTAATGAATATTATGATAATCATCATCGTCATACAAATTGGAAAAATAATCAGAATGATAATATAGATGATTATAATATTTAATGATTATAATTTGTTTTAAAGGCCTTAATATATACACCAAGAAAGTCTTTTATCTGTCTTCACATACTAGTGCATCTTTACCTTTATCTTTACCCGAGATTCTGGAAGAATGCTGTGTTCTCAGCAGTCGGGCTTCCAGTTCAATTTCATTTTCTTCCTTCTAACTCGGACCAAAGACAACTCAGCCCAGCTCCAAACACAGTCAGTTTTTGCAAGTTTAGGACTAGGGTTAGGGTTGGGGTTAGGGTAAAATGACAAAAAACTTACCGTTTTTGCAGCTGGGCCGAGTCGTCTTAATTGGTCCGAGTTAGAACGGATTCATCTGTATAGTCATGGCTGATACGTTTTTTAAACAGACAAAACAACAAACTAAGCATTTCGTTTGTTAAGAGACCATCATTGACCTGTCTTAAGCAGGTTGATACAGTAGAAAATTTCAAGAGGAAAAACTGTTGTATATCTGTATTTTTAAAAATAGTATACAGGCGCGGATCCAGGATTTTCCGATAGGGGAGGGAGGGGGGGGGCGGAAATTTGAAAATTGCACAGACCGTTTTTTCAACTCATCATACCAATACTGACAAGGTCACATTAGAATCACCATACCGGTACCTACAAGCAGGCACAATTTTGGAAAGAGGGCAGGCTGACGTCACGTCTTTTGTCCGATATCAACATTCCCCGTCTTTAAGTTATACAATTTTCATCGGGGGGGGGGGCTGAAAAAGCCAGAAAAAGTAATTTTCTGGTTTCACAATTCGGCTAGTGAGCGAAGCGAGCGAGCAAAAATGTGTTATTGATCACCAAAATAAACGAGAAAAGATATCAAAAATTCATATTCGGGCAGCTCGCTGTCCCCCCCCCCCCCCGCCCCCCCCCCCTCTCCCCCCCCCATTACGTGCGAATTCAGTTCCCCACCCCTCCTCCTGCGCGAAGCGCGGAAGCTGTGACCTTTCATAGTTTAATAAAATTATTAGAGAAAGAAGATGATTCGTTGTTCCAATCTTGACTCTTAATCCTTGTCTGCATTCAGTGTCTCTCCTGCGCGAAGCGCGGAAGCTGTGACCTTTCATAGTTTAATGAAATTATTAGAGAAATAAGATGATTCGTTGTTCCAATCTTGACTCTTAATCCTTGTCTGCATTCAGTGTCCCTCCCACGCAAAGCGCGGAAGCTTAACATTTCATTAAATTACTAGAGAAAGAAGACGATTCGTTGTACCGTTCTCGAGTCTTAATCCTTGTCCCATTTCAGTTGCCCCCTTCCGCGCGAAGCGCGGAAGCTTTGCCTTTTCATTTAATTATTAGAGAAAGAAGAGGATTAGTTGTATCATTCTCTACTCTTAATCGTTGTTTGAATTCAGTTTCCCCTCTACCGCGCGAAGCGCGGAAGCTTTGACGTTTCATTAAATTATGAGAGAAAGAAGACGATTCGTTTTACCGTTCTCGACTCTTAATCCTTGTCTGAATTCAGTTTCTCCCCTCCCCCTCCTACGTCCTTTTATTGCCCCCACCGCCCTTGGCTACGCGTCTGCTTTAAAGGGAAAATGAAACAATCATGATTGTGATAACACACAATTATGTAGTAGAAATGAAGAAGAAAAAAAATCTATTACACCAACTATGGATAAATCACAGCTGGGAGTGTGGGCGGAGTGTCATAACTAGTAGTTTTGTGTTATTGGGCGAGGGGGCGTAGCGACCAAGCGAGATTTTGCAATGTTGAATGGTGAAATTAAGCATTGTAGAAAATCCCTAAGCCCAATATGTACGTTTTTTCTTTTTCTTTTTTTAATTTGATTTATTTGATTTCCAGGTACATGTATAAACAAAATAAAAATGACAACACAGCTTATAACATTACGAGTTACAAGACAGTGAAAATGCCACCAGCGGACGCCTGAGGATTACCTAAAAGAAAGTTTTATTCTGTCATGAGGTTCTCCACGTCCGCTGGTGTCACATGTAAATAGATTTTTAAAAAGTAACTGTAAAATAACATAACATAATTCAATTTAATGTTATTCATTTAATGTAATACCTGAAGGGATCAGAGATCCTCGCGTAGAGTCGAGACCTCCACCGAAAAGGCACTCCGACACAAGTGCCAGAACTCAACTCAACTCAATTCAACTACTTTACTTAATTTAAGCAAACTCGCTAAACCGAACCGAACCAAATTCCAACACCTACATCAGAACGCCCTCTCAATGGGAGACTGCTCAAAGAGCAACCCTCTCAGCGCACTCAATTAGGGCGATATACCGTGTGAGTCAAAACAAAGTTTACACCTAGAAAATTGCTAATTAATTAAAAAATCATCTATGAACAGTGAATTATTATACATCTTATAAAAGAGTGTTTTATCCCAAATCGTTTGATTTGATTTGATTTATTGGTTTCTGCATCTTTTTTCTTTTTTTCATCATACATTTTCATGAACATAATATGGCTTGATACAATATTTCAAGTGTATATAATTTTTATACAGATAATAAACGATATTAAACACATATATTGAATTTAAACAAATATATTGAATGGAAATTAACATACATTAGATGCAGGAGGGCTACAGTAATAAGCAAAGTAGCTTGACGTGCCGGCAGCCCTCAACTTAAGCTATGGTCACAAATCAGAACAGCGACCGACCGATCACTAGCCTGCTCGGTCGCTGCTGGACTTAGGCATCGCCCAGCGATTAGGTCGGTGCCCGGGCGGCGACCGCCCAGGCACCGAGCGTATTTTGGGCGGTGAGTGAAAAGTGAGCAGGCGCCGCCCAAATTTTAACTCTGCGCTAAAACTTCAGCGGCGACCGAGCGATGCCCTA